GTAGACCTTCGCTCCCTTTCTTCGCTTTGTCCATAACTGATGTAACAATATCTTCAAGATAGCTTTTATGTATTTTAAGTTGACTAGTTGTGGCGTCGGAATTTAAATCGAGCCATGTGATTTGTTCTTCAATATATTTTTTTATTGTCATCGCGTCTTTTGGTGATAAATTCTCGAATGGATTCTTCTTATTAGCTAACTGAGTTTTCAATATATATGCGTATCTGTCGCAAAAGAAAAAGATGCATTACAATATGAGTTTATTTTCTTCGCATTACTTCAAAGAGAGTACTTACGATTCAAGGTCATTTCTAGCTTCTATTCGTTCTTGGACTTTCTTGTCTTGATCTGCAAATCTTTCTGCATCTGCTATCATTCGATCGATTTCTTTTTTCGGCAGATGACTTTGATGCGAGTTAATTGTAATTTTTCTCTGATTGCCTGTTCCTGTGTCTTCGGCAGTAACCTAAATAACATTTCACATTTATTCTTTCGATTTTTTTCATTACTCTAACCGTGAGAATGCCATTGACATCGAGTGAAAATGTGACTTCAATAGTAGGTGTTCCTTTTGGAGCTGGTGGGATACCAGTTAGATCAAATCTACCCAAAAAATGATTCTCTTTCACTATCTGTCTTTCACCTTCATACACTTGAATGGCAACTGTCACTTGATTGTCGGTCGTAGTTGTAAAAACTTGCGACTTTTTGGTTGGAATGACAGTATTTCGTGGAATAATTTTCGACATAATACCACCCACAACCGAAATGCCCAGAGTCAGTGGATTGATATCCAATATATAAATATCACCAGAAGACTCTTCCCCTGACAAAATTCCTCCTTGTACAGCTGCGCCATAGGCTATCAGAAAAGAAAACATAATACATGATAGAATGATCAATAAGGTGATCGGGCGCACGAAGGTCGGTTGCCAACTTATTGCTTCAAGAAATACGTAACTTGAGACTCAAGTCAGAAAATTGCTTCTCGGCTCTCGAGCATCATTTTGAGTCGAGAGAAAGCTTAGCGAGATCATCAGAATCTGATAAGTGAGCGTATAAAATCTGGCTTTTGAAATTCACAAACATTCAGGTGATATAAAAATGCCGATGATGATAGTTAACAACTGAGAGCTTCCTTATATGACGATGTATAATTCAAACTTAATTCCATCATGAATATCCTAGATATCAAATACATATACGATAAATTTTTATTTGAAGATGTGGGTATAGGTGTTTTGCAAACTAAGTTTAAATGTGTCGCATGTGTCGTGGTTTGCGATACACTGTACGACACATTCGAGTGCGACACGAGGTGCTCGTTGCGACATATGATCTCCGGCGATGGCACAACGCATTTTGTACGACACATGCGACACATTCTGAAAACGTTTTCTTGAATCCACTTGCCAGTACGTTGTTTATATTTTTATCAAAGATTATGATATTTTTTTTCGATTTTCGTCTATTGAACAGTTCCGTTTCTGAAAACTCAAATAGGCCAGATCTTAGGATTTGTCCGGTCTCGAGTCGGCCCGGTTTTTGACAGGCCATTTTCGGGTAGTCCCACCCCAATCAATGATCAGGACAAGCATTCTCTCGACTAATTAATAATCGATATAATCTAAAAAATATTTAAATGAAAATACATAACTTTCGTATGTTCAATCGAGTTCTCATATATGGCCTTGTGCGCAAAAGAAAAGGGTGAATCGATAGTCGTCACACAGAATGAGAACAATTTATTAGCGACACTTTCTGTTGCGACATTTCTGACACTGAACCTGCGACACTATAACTCGCAACACATATATGCGACACATTTAAATTTAGAGTGTGGTGACACTAGGCATGCACCGAAGCCGGGAACAGACCGGGATTCTCGGGTTCGGCTATTCCCTGGGTTCGGCCGTTCCCGGTACCAAAATACTCAGCTTAGTTATTCATACACTTTCATCTACATTAGACATCGATCGGAGCTGGGAACACCGAACCCGGAAATGACCGAACCCGGGAATCCCGAAACCCGAGAAGTTCGGGCTCGGTGCATCCATAGGTGACACCAACAGAGACGCAGATTTGCACCGTATGTATCTTCCTATACATTTGAGTGGTTTCCTCGCACGAACAACCTCAAGGGCTAATGTATTTGAACTTTGTTGAAAAGCACATATTCATAGCGGATCATTTTAATGTTAGCTTCAGTTTCACGATTCACATGCATGGGATACAGTGATTCAAAGAGGACTTTTTACATGCTTTGTGCCACCAGACACGCGGGTGTGGGTGTGAGGGTGTGGGTGTTGGTAGAGAAATATACAGCCACACCCAAACAGCTGTTTGAGACCGGATGTTTTTGACCTGGGCAAGATTACATCTGTAAAAGTTTTTCAACGTGGATTCCATCAATAAAACTGTCCGACCCCGACTCAGTTCCCCCGGGTTCGGATAGGACCCGATGGGCTCTATTCTCGAGTTATTCAAAAAAGCAGTGGAGCACATTATACTTCTAAGTTGATAGTGAATGAGTACCGCTCGATTGGCGATCCACTTTAGCTTATATCTCACTCACCGACAGCTTCGTCCGGATTGATACTTCGTAATGGTTCTTTTCCATTGAAATATTCTTTGAGCAGCTGTCGAATTTTTGGTATTCTAGTCGATCCACCGACGAGAATAATTTCGTCGATATCAGATTTTTTAAGATCGCCATCTTCTAGAACTTTTTCCACGGGTATCAATGTTGACTGAAATAAATCCAGATTGAGTTCTTCAAATTTAGCACGTGTTAATTTTTCATTAAAATCCGCATTTTGAAAAAAAGATTCAATTTCAATTTTTATCTCAACTTCTGACGACAATATCCGTTTAGCTTTTTCAACTTCACGTCGAAGTTTTTGTAAAGCACGAGTATCTTGGACATTTTTGCCAGTCTTCTGTTTGAACAATTTAATTAAATATTCCATAACACGTAGATCGAAATCTTCACCGCCTATACAGATAACAAAGAAAGTATGGTCTTGTTCATCTAAAAAGAAAGAATGAAAAAAAACTCACCCAAATGTGTGTTCCCATTTGTAGCGACTACTTCAAATACACCCGACCCGACTACTAAAAGCGAAACATCAAATGTTCCACCACCCAAATCGAAGACAAGTATAGTCTGATAGCTGATTTCCTTATTCAAACTACCAAGACCATAAGCAATCCCTGCGGCTGTCGGTTCGTTGATAACTCTTACAGCATTCAAAACCGCGATAGTACAAGCATCTTTTGTTGCTTGTCGTTGAGCATCATTAAAATAGGCAGGAACTGTTACAACAGCATATTTCACTTTCTTTCTAAGATCTGTTTCCTATTCGAATGAGCAAATGATTATCTTCATCCAAGATAATATCAACTTACAGCGATCTCGCGCATTTTACCAAGTATCATTGCCGAAATTTCTTCTGGTGTAAACAACTTTTCAGTAGAACCTATTTGGACTTTCACAACCGGTTTATCATCTTTCGCAATAACCGAAAATGGAAAATCTTTTATGTCTTGTTTGACCGATGGGTCGTAATATTCACGGCCCATCAATCGTTTGATACGGAATATTGTATCTTAAAAAAATGAAACCAATCATATGAACAAGTTAGACAAAACGAATATACTTTGAGGATTCGAGGTAAGTAAATTTTTGGCAGCATCACCTATTAATCGTTCACCATTAGATGTAAAAGTAACATAAGATGGTGTTATTCGATTGCCTTGATCATTTTCAAGAACTTCAACGTGACCATTTTTAAAGACAGCGACACATGAATAAGTTGTTCCCAGATCAATACCAATTACTGTATCAACATCTGCTTTTTCTTTTCTTCGTTGCTTTTCTTGTTTTTCTTGATCTTCTTGCTTTTTTTGATATTCTTGTTTTTCTTCATTTTTACTACTCCAAAAAGAAAAAGTGTTTACCATACTAATGAGTAGAAGACAAGTAATAACGTTAATAACAATGATATTCATTCTTCTTTTGTAAAAGCACTGAAAATTATTTCTGGTTTGAATGAATTCAGTTTAATCGTCGATATGGTCTGTTTATTCTCGATCTCTGCTTATGTTGAAAATCATATAAGAATCACTTCTTTCTCGACTCACAGAACAGTCTCAGTTTTTTCAAGCATCGGTCTTTATTTATAGCGCAGAATAGTAATAAAAGGACGGGGGGCGATTTCTACAGAAATCGGCCCAATTGAATTTTAATGATCTGCTCGGGTAGAAACAAAGGAAATGATGGTAGAAAGTATACCTTATGGTTTTCAAATGATTTTTCTAG